GAATAAATACCCCATTAAGAAATTAATTGGCAAATAGGACCTAAAGACTTTGTACGGGTGAACTTCCGTTGTGTGCAAGTGATACTGTTATGAGTCCCACATTGGGGAATCTCACAAGTGTTGTGGGGTTTATAAGTTCAAGGGGCTCTCCCTCCCAATAGGCTAGTCTTTTGGGATTGGGCTCTCCTCTTGGGCTTATGCTCATCACATTGGTGCTTTCGTTGAGAGTTGGCTAACCGGAAAGGGCTACCTGCGGAGGGTTCTGACCGGTAAGAAGGCCGAGTAAAGTGCCGTAGAGTGGAGCCGCCGGGGACGTCGGCTCTTGAGAGGGGTGCTCTGTTATGAGTCCCACATTGGGGAATCTCACAAGTGTTGTGGGGTTTATAAGTTCAAGGGGTTCTCCCTCTTAATAGGCTAGTCTTTTGGGATTGGGCTCTTCTTTTGGGCTTACGCTCATCACATTGGTGCTTTCATTGAGAGTTGGCTAACCGGAAAGGGCTACCTGTGGAGGGTTCTGACCGGTAAGAAGGCCGAGTGAAGTGCCGTAGAGTGGAGCCGCCGGGGACGTCGGCTCTTGAGAGGGGTGCTCTGTTATGAGTCCCACATTGGGGAATCTCACAAGTGTTGTGGGGTTTATAAGTTCAAGGGGTTCTCCCTCCCAATAGGCTAGTCTTTTGGGATGGGTTCTCCTCTTGGGTTTGTACTCATCACATTGGTGCTTTCATTGAGAGTTGGCTAACCGGAAAGGGCTACCTGCGGAGGGTTCTGACCGGTAAGAAGGCCGAGTGAAGTGCCGTAGAGTGGAGCCGCCGGGGACGTCGGCTCTGAGAGGGGTGCTCTGTTATGAGTCCCACATTGGGAAATCTCACAAGTGTTGTGGGGTTATAAGTTCAAGGGGTTCTCCCTCTTAATAGGCTAGTCTTTTGGGATTGGGCTCTCCCTTGGGCTTATGCTCATCACATTGGTGCTTTCATTGAGAGTTGACCAACCGGAAAGGGCTACCTGCGGAGGGTTCTGACCGGTAAGAAGACCGAGTGAAGTGCCGTAGAGTGGAGCTGCCGGAGACGTCGGCTCTCGAGAGGGGTGCTCTGTTATGAGTCCCACATTGGGGAATCTCACAAGTGTTGTGGGGTTTATAAGTTCAAGGGGCTCTCCCTCCCAATAGGCTAGTCTTTTGGGATTGGGCTCTCCTCTTGGGCTTATGCTCATCACATTGGTGCTTTCGTTGAGAGTTGGCTAACCGGAAAGGGCTACCTGCGGAGGGTTCTGACCGGTAAGAAGGCCGAGTGAAGTGCCGTAGAGTGGAGCCGTCGGGGACGTCGGCTCTCGAGAGGGGTGCTCTGTTATGAGTCCCACATTGGGGAATCTCACAAGTGTTGTGGGGTTTATAAGTTCAAGGGGCTCTCCCTCCTAATAGGCTAGTCTTTGGGATTGGGCTCTCCTCTTGGGCTTATGCTCATTGGGAGGGAGAGCCCCTTGAACTTATAAACCCCACAACACTTGTGAGATTCCCCAATGTGGGACTCATAACAGAGCACCCCTCTCGAGAGCCGACGTCTCCGGCAGCTCCACTCTACGGCACTTCACTCGGTCTTCTTACCGGTCAGAACCCTCCGCAGGTAGCCCTTTCCGGTTGGTCAACTCTCAATGAAAGCACTAATGTGATGAGCATAAGCCCAAGAGGAGAGCCCAATCCCAAAAGACTAGTCTATTAGGAGGGAGAGCCCCTTGAACTTATAAACCCCACAACACTTGTGAGATTCCCCAATGTGGGACTCATAACAGAGCACCCCTCTCAAGAGCCGACGTCCCCGGCAGCTCCACTCTACGGCACTTCACTCGGCCTTCTTACCGGTCAGAACCCTCCGCAGGTAGCCCTTTCCAGTTGGTCAACTCTCAATGAAAGCACCAATGTGATGAGCATAAGCCCAAAGGGAGAGCCCAATCCCAAAAGACTAGCCTATTGGGAGGGAGAGCCCCTTGAACTTATAAACCCCACAACACTTGTGAGATTCCCCAATGTGGGACTCATAACAGAACACCCCTCTCGAGAGCCGACGTCCCCGGCGGCTCCACTCTACGGCACTTCACTCGGCCTTCTTACCGGTCAGAACCCTCCGCAGGTAGCCCTTTCCGGTTAGCCAACTCTCAACGAGAGCACCAATGTGATGAGCATAAGCCCAAGAGGAGAGCCCAATCCCAAAAGACTAGCCTATTAGGAGGGAGAGCCCCTTGAACTTATAAACCCCACAACACTTGTGAGATTCCCCAATGTGGGACTCATAACAGAGCACCCCTCTCGAGAGCCGACGTCCCCGACGGCTCCACTCTACGGCACTTCACTCGGTCTTCTTACCGGTCAGAACCCTCCGCAGGTAGCCCTTTCCGGTTGGCCAACTCTCAATGAAAGCACCAATGTGATGAGCGTAAGCCCAAAAGGAGAGCCCAATCCCAAAAGACTAGCCTATTAAGAGGGAGAACCCCTTGAACTTATAAACCCCACAACACTTGTGAGATTCCCCAATGTGGGACTCATAACAGATACAAGTACTACTTAAAAAAAATAGATAAATATAAAATATAAAATAAATTATGGTCTTACATTTAGAACCAAATTAAATGTCAAATTAGTTTTATATTAAAGGTGGGAGGTAATAAAGGGAAAATTGGGGATAAATATCCCATTAAGAAATTAATTGGCAAATAGGACCTAAAGACTTTGTGCAGGTGAACTTCCATTGTGTGCAAGTGATCTTCTTTTTTTTTTTGCAACTGATCTTCTGTGTGCGTGTAACTGACCTTTCTTGTGTGCAACTGATCTTCTTAGGTCCCATTTACTAATTAATTTCTCAATAGGTATTTATCCCCAATTTTCCTGATAATAAATGAGGGCAGAAAAACCAACACCTCATCAATCATCACTCCGGACAAACTATAGTGCATTTGATACTACTTTTTTGGTCCTTAATATAAGACCCATTTAACTAATTTGATTAGATTAAGAAAGTTATGTAAGTTAGTTAATTATAAGAAATGTGACACATTTTTGCTAAAACACCATAATTATCTTTATTAATACTTCCTCTCCTTCTTTTATTTGATTATGGTTAAGGGAATATGTATATGGGTAATTTAGATAAAACCGATAAATATGATAAATAGATCTTATATTTAAGATCAAAATCAACTCAATAATTGAGCTTATATTAAGAATCGGAGAAGTATCAATTAATCACAAAATAAAAAACAAACCAAAGTACAAACAGAGGGGCTTTCTTAATCAACTTCTATCTCCCATATTAAAGAACATGGAATGTGATCAATAATTTTTTTCTAGTCTGTAAACTAATTTGGCCACGTAATCAACCACTGTGTCACTCAACAAAGAAGTAATCTAGTTTTATCAACAAGATCTTTAAAAAGATATGTTGAAGCACATCACCTACGTAACAAGTTAATAGCCTTAATATGATCGGAACAAACAAAAATAGATCTATAATTTCTAGACTAGCATTTGACACTTTTCTTTTTAATTAGTTTCTGGCCCCACTTGTTTGAAAAAAATCGGTAAAAACTGCATGTTTTGAAACCTTATTAGTTAAAGAAAACCTGAACTTTATTAGTATAATTCTTTTTTTGATACGTGTCACATGTATGTAAATATTTTTTGTTTTGAAAATTTTTATGCACGTTTGATTATAGACTGCATCTAGTTGAAAAAAGGCTGCACTAGTTAAAAATGAGTTGCGCCACTTTGTTTTAGCCAGTAAAATTTCTAAATATGTATTTTTGATCAGTTTTTCCTAGTTATTCGTTTTGGTTAATAGTCCCAATAGTTTGATCTAAACAGTTTTGTGAATTATTTTCAATGTTAATAAAACTGAATTGATGATTAAACCGTTTGTTGCATTGTGTTTACAATGTAATGATTAAATCAAGATTTAAAATTTAATCAAACCGATTATAAATAAAATTACATATTTTAAATAATATATGTTTAAAATAAAATAATTATTAATAAAAATGAATATTTAAAATTGAAAAAGAAAGAAGCTGGTCAAAAAAAAATGAAAAAGAAAGAAAGTATACACTCATTTTATAATGTCGAGGATCAAATAAATTAACTTATAGAAACATAATGACCAATAAATTCCGATGGGGCCATATTTACTTATTTAGGAATCGGATCACCATTTAACCTGTCGTTGTCAAATCTTTGTCATATTTTCAACAACATACCGTCATGCCCCCAGTTTCAGGGTTCTACACCTTCAACAAAATAACTCACATAACCATTTAAAAAAAAAAAAAAAGGCACACAAAGAAATGTATTCCCACCAATAGGGATTGGGTCTAGCGAAAGGGGCTAGTATCCCATAACATATGGAACTAAGATTCGAATCCCTGTTGAGAAAAGTACCCGCATTTAATACCTAACAGTGTTTCGAATATAATTGCCTCTGATAGGAAAATACCTATATTTCAGTAAAAAAAAAAAACAAGAGTAAAAGTAGGGGGGAAGTAGATTAAAATTTTAGATATAAGAATGTAACCTATACATAAGATTAATCCTATTTCAAAAAATGCAACTTAAATATAAGACTGGGGGAGTGTTAAGCTAATTTTTTTTAATTCAACTTGGAATATCTATTGTCAGTAATAATATTAGTCTTTTCAACTTTTCAAAAGAGTTTTAGCAGTGACTATGAGATCCTCTCTATATTTATTACCAGAAATGAAACTAATTTATTATAAAAAATATATGCTGAATGAATATGTAGAAAATGTCGATGTGTAACTATACATTTCTAGGGCATAATAAGCTGTGCAATTCAAGCATGTGGAGGGGGAGAGAAAAAAATCTGAGCCACACCAACTCAACAAGGGCTACCTCATCTTGGAGGCATGGTCGGTCACTCGGTCCTCATCCTTATCTTTCTCTCTAAGCCAAAGCGTGCTCTCTATATAAAAATGAATTATTTTTCTAATTTCTTTTCCTCTAACTTTCTTAAATATATGCGAAACTTGGTTTGGCATAGAAGCACGGAGGCCAAAGCATTAAAGCAATCCCTCTCTCTAAATTACCCAGATTTCTCATCTTAAAGGTTCGATCTTTTGTTGACGACTATCTCTCCTGCATCGCGAAGCTATTCAGCTATGGCGTCTGGATCGTCGGGTCGCGGTAACTCCGCCTCCAAAGGGTTTGATTTTGCGTCTGATGACATCCTCTGTTCATACGAGGACTATGGCGCCCACGATTCTTCTAATTCCAATCACAGTGATCCGGTCATTAGCGCCAATTCTACCAAGGTATGTATCGATGGGCTTTCTGGGTCGATTTAGGGGTTGACTTTCTGTTATCTTTCCATCTCGGGGAATTTCCGAATTTGGCCGCGATTCTTTTTGCTCGGAATAAGTTATTAGGGTTTAGGAAATTTGACATCCTTTTAGCGAATAATTTGGTGTCGCGGAAATAAGTTATTTGATCTTGTTGTCTTTCTTGTAATTTTTGCCCTTCCCCTGTCGTTGATAGATTCTTGCGAATTTGTTTCGTCAATCTTTTATTCTTCTGCTGATTACTGGGCTCTATGGGTTTCTAGGAATACGTAAAAATAGCAGAAATGTGAAGCGACTTGGGATTTTTATTATCATGTAGACGATTTACTCGGAAATGAGCCGAATCATTGTCTAGTATTGTCTGACTGGACTTCTTTTTTTATGGCGGGGAAAGAAAAGGGCGGCATTATTAACGCTGCATTTTTTTGATAAATCTATGTGATGAATCAAAATCTATTATCTATTTGGCTTTCCACTATAGTTAGCGTTATTATTGGCCCGAAGTTCTGTTTAGTGAACTAGCTTCGCCAGAATAAGCGTCGACATGCATAGAGCTATAAATTCTGTGTGATATGTCTATCAGCACCTGCTAAGCTAGTTTGTAAGTGTGTCTCCAGCCCAAAGAAAGGGAAAACATCAAGTGACCGTGAGTTAAAAAAGATGTAAATGAATGTGAGGTAACAATAATTGAGGAGGAAAAGGACTAGGGAGTTATGATTGGAGGGACAGAATACTAGGAAGCACTTTCTCGTGGAATCCCCCCTTGCATATTTGTCTCCCCATTTATTGTTGTCTGATGGATAGCCGACAGTTATATGCCTAAATAAGTATCCCAGGTGCATCAAGCCAAAAAAAAACAAGAAGAAAATAAAAAAAAAGAAGTTAAAGTCATTCGGCTGCTACTGGAAGGATTCCCCTGATACATGGCTCCTGGCTATACCCAATATGATGTAACTTGGATCGAAAATTCACTTAGATCTTTTTGGATGTGGTTGAAAATTCTGCTGCACCACTCATCTGAATCTGCAACTCGATTCAGATTTCCATCTGCGTTCTATTTCAACATTTGTTTTGTTTCCCAACTTCTATTTTCTTTTCAACATTGATTTCCATTTTATTCTGAGTTTCTTTCTTCTTTGTTGCCTTGACTAAAAGGTTCATTTCAACTCTTTCCTTTGTGTCCTGTACACCTCCCCCCCCCCCCCAAAAAAAAAAAAAGAGGAAAAAAAAGAGACAAAATGAGTATGATTAGAATGAGATTTCATATGCCCTTGCTATCAAGGTTGCTTGGAGATGAAATTGCATTCCCTCTTGTCATTGCTTCTCTTTTTAAAAAAAAAAATATTAATGATGTATCATCGAAGTATCATTTGTTATAGCTGTGTCCTCTTATCTTTAGCATAGTGTGTTTCTGTGTTATATAGATCAAATACCATGGCCTGCGCCTCATCAACTAGCCACTTGCTAATTTATCTCAACCAATGAAGCTGTATGGATGCATGCTTTATATCTTTTGGGACTCTCCCGGGGGCTCTTACATTTGTGACTTTAATTTCATATTTGTTACTCGTTGATTGATTAATTCTCACAAAACTTGAAAGTTTAGTTTCTTCTTGGGTTTCTTGGATTTGGCTGAATGCGGATATGATTGTGAACATTGATCTTGGAATTTGCATTACATCAAGTTAAAATGTTGGGGGGGCCATTATATGGTGAAAGTTAAGGGTTATAAACACTGTATCTCTGGGAAGAATGATTATAACATGCTTATTTTAGTTGTTTAGAGAAGGTTCTCCTTTTCATCAAGGGCCGTCATTTGTTAATAGCATATTGTTTAGACCAAGAAACACCACGAAGTTACCAAGTCTCATAGTTCTAAAATGGTTGTTTATATTGGATAACAAGTTCTCTAGTTTACCTAGAAATATTTTGCTGATTTCAATATGAAATTTTGGCCAATCTTATCCATATTGCTGTTCATGTGCAAATGTATGGTTTGAGGATTTTGCATTAAATTTACCTTGTATCAACTATTCAGTAATTTTAAATTGAGTCCTTGAAATCTTTCTTTCAGCCGGATTTCCACAAAACAAGGATGACAAGGACATCAATGTTTCCTTCTACTGCCTATAGCACACCAGAGGATTCTTTAAGTCAAGATGTGATTGCCACAGTAGAGAAGAGCATGAAAAAATACGCTGACAATCTCATGCGGTTTCTTGAGGGAATTAGTTCAAGGCTATCACAGTTGGAGTTATATTGCTACAATCTTGACAAATCAATTGGAGAAATGCGAACTGATTTAAATCGTAGCAATGGAGAGGCAGAGACCAAGCTTAAATGTCTTGACAAACACCTTCAAGAAGTAAGTGACATCTTTAATAGATAGTATCTTTAGTACCAGTCGATTTGCTTGACAATTTTTTATAGGTTAAACTAAAAATCAGTCTTCTTAATAGATAAATAGTAGGGACTTAACGTTCTTATCACCTTTGGTATTTTGATTTGTTAGCCTCTTTCACGTGTTTTTATTCTTATTTTTCTGATTTTCTGATTGGTGTTTATGTAGGTCCACAGGTCTGTACAAATTTTAAGAGACAAGCAAGAGCTGGCTGACACTCAGAAAGAACTAGCCAAACTTCAACTTGTTCAGAAAGAATCATCGTCCTCAAGCCATACACAGTCCAACGAGGAGAGATCTTCCCCTTCTGCCACAGATCCTAAGAAAACTGATAATGCATCTGACACTCACAATCAGCAGTTAGCTCTTGCCCTACCCCATCAAGTTGCTCCCCAGCCGCAGCCTATGGCACCCCACTCTCAAGCTCCAGCACCAAATGTTACCCAAGCTACACAGCAACCTCCATATTACATGACCCCCCCCCGGTACCCAATCCACAAGCTGTTGCTCAGCTTCCCCAAAACCAGTATTTGCCTTCTGATCCACAGTATCGGTCGAGCCAACTACCTTCTCAAGTAACTCAGACCCCACCTGTTCCACAGTATCCTCCTCAGTATCAGCAACCACCACCTCCAGCTCCACAACCACAGCAGCAGCAGCAGCAGCAATGGCCTCAGCAGTTGCCTCAGCAGGTGCAGCCTCCGCAGGCCCCCTCCATGCAACCTCAAATGAGGCCACCCTCTTCAGTTTATCCTTCTTACCCTCCGAGCCAAGCTACGAATCAATCTCCCCCAGAAACACTGCCCAACAGCATGCCAATGCAAATGTCCTATTCAGGGATTCCACCACCTGGATCTAGCCGTGCTGACAGCATGCCCTATGGATATGGTGGTGGTAGAACTGTCCCACAGCAACCTCCTCCCCAGCAAATGAAGGGCTCATTCCCAGCACCACCAGGCGACGCATATGGAAGCACTGGGACCCACCCTGCACTTCCTCCTGCTACTGGATACATGATGTATGATGGCGAGGGAGGAAGAACACATCCATCCCCACCTCCTCATTATGCTCAATCTGGTTATCCTCCAGCAAGTGCTTCCCTTCAGAACCCCACTGGTCACAATCTCATGGTCCGGAGTCCTAGCCCATCACAATTCGTTCGCAACCATCCCTACAATGAACTGATAGAGAAACTGGTGAGCATGGGATTTAGAGGCGATCATGTGGCAAGCGTGATTCAGAGGATGGAGGAGACCGGGCAGCCTATAGATTTTAACTCAGTGCTTGACCGGTTGAACCTTCATGGCTCTGTTGTACCTCAGAGAGGATGGTCAGGATGAAGCTGTTTGTATTCTGGGACGCCCCGCTTGAACGATGCTTAGATGTTGGGGAGGGTGTTCTTGTCAAATCTCAGAGACTATAACCATTGCGCTTTTTATTATGCATGGAATAAAAATTTGTGTAATGTCTATCGTATGTAAAATGTATGAGGATTATATATGCCTGGGGCCTTCTTTACTTGTTATCGATCATTAACAGTCAAATATCTGGCTGCCATCTATATCGATGCAGATTTGGATTGGATTCAACGAGAGGTGGTTTTAGTGAGAGGCGATAAGAGTTTATCATTCATCCATTTCAAGCTCACAGATAATCATAGTCATTTGTTCTTTTATTCTGTTGAGTGTTTAGCAAGTTTAAGGAAATGTGTTTTTATTTTTTTTGTTGAGTTCTGTAATTATTTTCAACTCTAGTATTGTGAAATCATATAATCTTGCTGAATTCAAATTTGTTAACTCAAAATAATTCAGAAAATTTGTAAGATGAAGTTTGTATTAGCATGTTACAAAGTTGGTCTGTCGAAAATGACGGGATGAGAACATCGATTACGATTTTACTAGTCATACTTGTTTTTATTGGTAAAGTGGTATAACATATTATTTTTCAAGTGCATATGATTAACAGTCATAGTATCTTAATTTTATTTATGATTAACAGTTAATGTTGCTGTTTTAACAGAAGGTAAAATTATTACAATTTTAAATTTCAGAAGTAAATTTATATCCCAAAAAAACTTCTGGTTACTCTGTATTTTTAAATGAAAATTTGAGATAAATTTGTATTTTAACCCGTTATTAATTATTCAAGGTTTGATCGTGATTACCAGTAGCACCTTTCCGTGTATGATTGGACGCAGCTTCCAATTCTTCATGTCCCCCTTTTTTTTTTGCCTGACAATTCTTCATGTCCAAACGATCATATTTATGTTCACAGAATCATTCTATTATTTTTCTGGGTGAAAAATTATGCTATTATTACTATATAATTGTCGATCCTCGATGCGAAGATCGGCGTTGCTTTCCGATATATTTTTGCCCAGTTTAGATGAGATTCCTTTTTCTTCACTTCATGACATGTGAATTGCGTCTCTTCGTGTATCACCAATCACCATTAATGGCCCTACTTGTGAATTCCGCTTCTTTCTCAACGTGGGCATCAGCATTCATAAATTTAACATATTTCCTTAAAATTAAGGAAAAACTCTTCAACCTTATCGAACGGTATGAAGTACTCATTTAGTTGGTATAAGATTTTTTTTGGTATCTTTTTATTCTGGATAATTTTATTTAAGACATTGTTAGATACTAAATATAAATATTTCTCTCAATAAAAATTTAAATTTTAGTTTATCATGTTGTGTTGGCATGTGATTTTAAATGGCCTCCATCATGTCATGGTGTGAGTTTTTTTTCCCACCTCTTGCATTGTTTGAGGTATTCATTTAAAAATTTGACGATAAATTCAAATAAATTAATATCCGTATATGATAATAAAAGCAGTAACTCAATAAAATGTATTGGGTTAAGATACCTTCACCACCCTCAAAATATTTCCTCAAATACATCTAGTACCCTAAAATATGTTGTGGTGCATCCAGCACACTTAAGTTTTTTTTTTTTTGCCTTGGTGCTAGATGCACCGAAAAATATTTTTGGATATTGAGCATACCGAAAAAATTATTTTAAGGTGTTGGATGCACCAAAAAATATTTTAAGATGCTAGACACACGTTAAAAAATATTTTAAGATACTGGATGCACTACAAAATACTTTAAGGTATTGAATGTACCCGATAAAATACTTTGGGATGCTTAAGTGCACCTTAACCCAATAATATTTCTTGTATGCTGTAGCTAGAAGGATTAGAATTTGGCATCTTGAATTTGTACGCTTTAGTTTTTTTTTTTTTTTTAAACTCAATCTAAGTCATTTTGAATTTGAAACTAGTTTTTGTTGGGTCCCCAGCATTAAAAATTTGTCATTTTAACAAATGTGTTTCCCAAAATTTAAACATATATTTTTCTCCTTATGGAAATGAGATCGCTTACTGTCTCGAGGGCTTGTTGGTTGATTTGGTATGCTTTATTTATTTAAAAGAATTTTTTATTATTAATATACAAATGCCCAAATATGGAAATCGCATTTTACAAGACAAATAAAGTCTCAAAGTCATACCTTGAGCGTTGAGATTGAGACCATCCAAAATGCTAATTATTTCAGTAAAATGCAAACCTAACAGTAAATATTTTGGTACTACGCCACCATTGTTTGAAAATGGTTTTTTTTTTTTAAAAAAAAGTCTAGTTCATATTAATATTGAATCATGGGTTCATTGATATTTATCAATTCTTTACCCTTATTTTTCTCATTCTCCTAATCTCCCTCTATTTCATATCATTTCGCTTTGGGGTCTTCAACGTCCAGGTAAATAGCTTTTAGACTGGGATAAAATGACATGAAAGAGGTTGAGAATAGCAATATTTCAATTTACACACTTAAAAAGACCAAAATCCTAGAAAAGAAAATGGTGTGTGATATAGTATTTTGCAAATATAGTCAAATGATTATAATATTTTTATACCATATTTTTAAAAAAAATATTAAACTTATCATTATCAGTACATTTTTTGTTATTGATTGTTCAATATTTGTCATTATGAGTTTATAACTTGTTAATAAATAACTTGTTTAATACTATCATTCTCAGTTCATAACTTGTTAATAAATCTTTTGGTACAAAAAATATTTTTGTCATTTAACTATATTTGTAAAATATCAGATAAAGCATCACTTTCTTTCTTAAGATTTTAACTTCTTATATGTCTGAATTGAAATATTATAATTTTTAACTTCTTTTCACCTCTTTTTTTTTCTTTGCTCATTTTTAATTAACTTTTCCTGTATTATCATTATTATTGGATCCATAATATAAGGCTATAAACCCAGGCACCCCAAAGTCCAAAATCTCACAAAAAGGCGCCAAAGCCTCCCGCCAACAAGTTGGCTTCTCTGGTTCCCGGCCAAGGGTCCGACCCAGCCTCCCCCGTCCTCCACTGACGTCCAGTGCAGCGCTAGCCGGTGCCCATCACCGACTTCTTGATGTCGTCGGCGAACGAAGCTCACTGGTCAATTGGTGGTCCCCGCTTCAGTGGTCTCACGCTTCAGGATAAAATTGATAACAACGGCAACAAGCTTCTTGCCGAGCGGGAGAGCCGAAGCCCTATGACGGAGGCTCGCTCTTGTTCTGGCGGATTAGAGAAGGACAATAGTGCAGTTTTAGTTTCCCCGCCTCCGGCACCGCTTGCTACCAAGCGACGGAGATACATGGCTTTCATGGACGATGATGGGGAAGGAACGGAGGCAGAGGAAATTGGAGCCGATAATCGTAAGGCTCGTAGGAAGTTGGTGAAGAAGCTCTGGGACGATTTTGATAGGGTGGCTATGGAGAATGAGACAACCGATCTATCTGATACTGGAAACGAGGTGAAAATTGGGAAATTGACAAGCTATGATGATGATGCTACTGTTATGAAGGTGTCTGAAGAGATAAATAATTCGAAATATGAAGCAAAGAAGGCAAAGGCTCGAAAGAATAAAAAGGTTCAAGGTGAAAAGAATTCTGGTTCTGGCAATAATGGCGTTAGAACTTCCGCAATATTGGCAAAGCACGACTCCAACCAGCCTTGAATTTGATAATGGTGCTGCCCAATTTGTTCTTCTATCAGTATCTGGATTCGCAGAATTGATAATAGATAGGGCTCCTTTCTGTAGTTTTTCTTTTGTTTTTTCCTTGTTTTAGTTTGATAGAAATTATGGGCTCTCTTGATGTATGATAATCAGAGTGTTGAGAAGCTCGGCTTAAGTACTTGTGCGTGTGTGTGTATATATTGAATTTTCTGTTCGTTCGAAATTATCCGAGATCATATTGACCTGAAAACTTGAGAACTAATGAATTGTGGCCAGTCTGTTTTTGCCCAGAGAAAATGTCTTGTTCGTTAATCGTCTGAAATTTCGTCAGCCCATCGATGAATTTTTGATTCATTAATCCTTCGTCATGGTCTTCAAGAAGTCACATTTTATCTTTATGGATACTGCAGGATGAGGATTCAACTTAAGCTTAGAAGTCGGGTGCCTGTTTTCAAGAAGTTGAAAAAACATCTAATTCTTAAGGGGCTTTTTATCCAATTATCCTTATTTCGAGGAAAATTTACCCTCATGTTACATCATCTTTGGTTCTCACAAAACAAGCTTCCAAATGAAAGGACTGCAAGTGCGACAAAATGCGGGCACTTTTGATAATTCTTCAAGCACAGCAAGCAGTAGGGTAAATCAGATTAAGGATTCACTTGTATGACTTCAAAAAGCAATCAGTTCAGTTCACCTAGACTAATCCTCGCAAATTTAGATTATTTTGAGGATGTTTTCACTGTTGCACAGTCTCTAATCTGCGCTGCAACACTATAATACCCTTGCAGTCACTTGATTGTGGCATTGGTGATATAACGAAAATCCATGATATAGTACAGAACTAACTATTTAGACCACTAACAGAACCAAACCAAAAAAAAACCTAGATTCCATTCCCATTTTGATTCATTAAACCAAAAAAAAAACTTGGAATTTCATCGAAGTTTCTTACATGCCTCTTTGAAATTCCTATCTTGTTGAGTCCATCCTGTAACTTTGGCCAATCTGCATGATTGTTCAAGGAATAGAGAATAAGTTGATGATCCTTTCCATGGGGTCATCCAGAAATCATCCTCAAACTCCTTCATTCCTTCAACCAGGAATTGCCACACTAAGGCGCCTGCTCCGGACCTGTTTTTCTTAGCAGATTTGTAGATTATGTCTAAAATTGCTCTGTACATCTTTTCACGGTCAGATACTGAAAAGTTCTTAATCAAGTCTGACCACCCATACTCAGAGAACAAAACAGGCTTCTTCAATTCTTTGTCGCCGTCTTCAATGTGTGAATTCATCCACTTGGTGACAAAATGCAGGTTCACTTCAAAGTCGTGCGTTTTTAACCTACAACAAGTACATATATATATGCACACGTATATAAGCTATCTCGAAATATCATTGGTAGCTTTTGGATGTATTTTTTTAAATATAAATTTGAAGGCAGGTTTCAACAGTACTTAGGCAACAAAATTCAGGTGAAATAGAGGATAGGTGAAATTTCAAAGAAAGAGAGAAATTTAAAGCAGACTCCATCAGTGGCTGCCCTTCCTTCTGAATCTCTTTTGTCCAGTTTGCTTTCAACAAAAGATAAGTATTCTCTTTCTCGTGCTCAGAAACAGTGATATGCAATGGTTTAGTTTACCTTCCTTTCTTATCATTACTCAACATTTACTGTCCCTTTAACTACTTATTTTATTCAGACATAGAAGAGATATTTTTCATCTATAACTTTTTTATTTGTCATCTTCAATCTTCACCCTTTCTTACATATCAAATGGGCCCTTGATATTTTCCTTTTAAGAAAGGCAATATCAGCCAAGTAATCTATGGACTGCACTCAATGGTAAGCAAGGACTTCGACTCAATGCATTGCCTATCCAAAATTGCCTAATTCTATGATACTTCTTCCATTTTCCCATGACTAAAAGCAGGTTCAAAAGTATAGATATGGCAATCATGCAATGCTTACCAATGGTCAGGATAGATATGAACAGAGGTGAAATCGATATTTGCAATCCCAGAATTGCGAATAAAATCAGATCCAAGTCTGGATGCCCACTCCTCTGGGTTGACAGTAGGGCCTTTTGGGTCATTAGGGCCATAAAATCCTTCAAGGCCAATAGTAACCAAATGGTTCCTGTCTATCAATTTGACAAAAGCAGACATTTCTTCAAGCCAGTCCTGCAATTTATGCCAAGTAATGGATACTCAGATATCCATGTTACATGCAGTAAAGCCACCATCATTTTCTTTCCCTTCTCAGATTTAGAAGGGCTGAGACTTAAGAACACCTAATTTGTTTTCCTTGTTTGCTTTTACAAGCCTATGTGGATCCAGAAGAGCTAGCATCAGGTTACACTATGATTACTTTTAGAGTTAAAGCATCCAATCCATTTATGTTTTTTGTCCCCTTACAAAGAATAATGAACAAAACTAAGAATCGCAATGAGTATCAAGGAATCACTTGATGGAGTAAGAACTTTTGTATGGATGACGGGCTCAAGAGCTCGACATATTAGCATAATCCATCCCAAAACACAATTGAGGAAAGAAAAGTAGCACAGATTATATATATACATATATATATTAATCCCCTCAAGCAGGAACAAGCAACATGCAGCATGCACTGAGACATTACAACGAGAGGAAATTATTAAGTTTTAATTAATTTTGAACAAGTCAAAAGCATTGACAGCATACTTCTTAAATTTTCAGATGGATTGCGATGCTTGAAGAGAGCTTACTTGGAGAGTGTCACCTGAAGGATCAGTCATGCAACGAGGTTCATTAATTAATTCCCAACCTAATATGGTGGGATCACTTCTATATTCAACCCCAGTGATAGTATTCTTCCTTGTCAGAAGAGTCTGCAAAAGAATTTAGGGGAAGCTCAAGGTTTAACTAAGAACAGTCTCTCAAGGATACAAATACTCATCAAAAGTAATTATGTGCAGCACAAAAGCAAAGAGAAACAGTCATGCAATCATCATGAAGAGGATGGGAGTTGTGGGCAATTATATTTTAACCTAGGAGATTGTAAGATTTCAAGCTTCATTCATTAATTAACAGACACGATGACAGGTAACAGTGCATATTAAGGAAAAACTGAAAAGTAATAATGTATGCACGTCTTGTAATCACCATACAGCCGTTTGATCATAATTTTCACTGTTTGTTCTTTACCTAAAAATTCTTAAAATTGGAAGGTAGGTTGCTTGTAACCAAATTTATTTTAGATGAAGTCATGCATCTTTAACAACAACAAAAAAGTTTAGCTATCTCTAGAATCTGATATTTCACTAAGTTAGCATCAGGGAAATAATCTTATCCTTTGCCTCCAGACAGGGTTATAATGAATGATGATTCAGCCTGCCTCAGACACATGTAGTTGGTGCAATAGTAAAACAATTCTCATTCATGAAGCCATCACATGCAAACATGCCATCTAAATGTCCGTCTTCTACAAATTCTCAAGACAAAACGGTAGAGAAAGTTGGGGTAGTAATACAACGCTTAGGCTATCATAGAAGATATATCAATCTCTGCAGAACCACAAGAACATCCATGTAGGAATACCAGATATTGCTCTTTTAAATAAAAGCAACTACAAATGAGACAAAGAATAACTTGACACGAAGAAGATAACATCACAATACCTTGACATAATTCTTGAAATAACTGCGGATTGATGGATCATAAAAGAAAGAATCATTGGATGCGCTTAATCCTATCCCTTCTTCCCATGCCCATTTGACATACTGAGTCTTCCCACCATAGGCATGCAAGTTATTGACCAAGGCCAGGAGAAGCCGAATTCCTTGTTGCCTTGCTTCTGCTATGACATAATCCAAGGCCTGCCACCCAACCAATGCTCAACGTGTTTGAAACTTCTTTTTTTTTTTTTTATTTAATTTTATCAGAAAGGACAAAAGGGAATTTAGCACTAAACAGGACTGACGACACAGACTATATAAAACAAAATTTAAATGACGTATCTTCGAAAATCGGAAATGCAAGCACATATTTGTTTGCTTTCTAAAAACTTTTGATCTTGTCATTTCACCTCCTTGAAGACACATTTCTCGGAACAATTTCGTAGGAGACAGATGGATCGAGGAAAACTTTCTTTATGGGAAAAAAAGATGGAAAAGAAGTGACACAAGTCCAGCATATTTCATATTGAATCATTAAGCTAATGCACACAAATTCAGAGGCCAAAAACAAAGAAGAAAAAAAGGTTCGAAAGGATTTTTCAACATCATTCTCTGAAAAGTCTGACCAGAAGTGCATGGGGAGGCTACATGCTACCTTTTGTCTGCATTCGATCACGTATGACATATAATCACTCCAGGGAATATGTATCTCGTTAACAAACACAATATTCAGCTGTGGGGTTCAAGATTCATGACATATTTTATAAATTCCGTTGACCTTAGATAGTTCTTTGATCATATTTTGGGAAATCCAGACCCTGCCATGATGAATCACGACAATAATACGAAACAAGCATTATTACCATTATGAATTGCACAAGTAACTCAATTTCAGCTATGTAATATCAAAAGAACAACAATAACAACAGTAAGATCGAAGACAAACCAACGAGCAAGAACATTGAGTTACAATACCTGAAAAACTCGCTCATCAAATCGACCAGGGGAAATCTGGAGGGCATTGTAGTCGCCATCATTAAAAGCCCAAGTCCTACAAACAGTGAGACCCATCTTCGCACCAGCCTGAAGCATCTCACGAACCCTGGGTCTGGAAGATTCATCCACAGACTGAACCATAAACCAGTAAGAGTTCCACCCATTGATGTAGAAAGGCCTGCCATCTAACATTAACTGAGTCCCATTTCTCTTCACAAAAGACAAGGTTGGTTCTTCCCTTAAACTCGGTCTCAGGTCTCCAAAAGACATGTATATGAAAACCACACAGGAAGCAAAACCGAGAATAGGGTAAAATAGACCATTTCCGGCCACCATTCTTCTGTATATACTGGACGGCGAAGACCAGCGAGATTGAGGAGATTGGAGAGATTCCCAGATACCCTTTTTGCTCTGCATTGGGGGGGGGGGGGGACTCCAAAATCAGTCACACCAGAAGAAGAGATGATGATTAATTAATGAACCTCATAAGGACCAGATGTGAATAAGAATGTCCCTGAAACCTACCTGATTTGGGTACTTAGATCTGTCTGACAAGACCATCGAAGAAGTTGAAAGGCATTAACTTTGAGCTGCAAATTTCACTGGTTTTCTCTAATAAGAATGCATTTAGAGGGTGAACTGGGGAAGGCTTCCTCTATACATAGAAATAAGGGAGGCAGAGAATCACAAGCCTTCTTCTTCAAAAACTGTCACAAGAGAAAGAGGAGGGAGAAAATATTATGAGGGTTGAGAAAGAACAAAAGAAAATGATTGCGGTGAAACGTTTATATCAACCAGTTTGGTAATCAGATCTGGGATTACAAGCTATCCCAGCTTCCCCTTCCTTCCGTCTGTTTTTGTTAATATTCTCTAATCTCAAGAACAAATTTTGGACCCTCGGGCCCTTGCGCCTCGTTGAATCTTTTTACCAAATTAAGGCAATGCAACGTTTCAGTAAATTAACCAAGAGAAAAAAGCAAGAAAAATCTCACTCTGTCGAGATTCTGATTAGAGTGAGTTTTTTAAGCTTATAAAGCAAATATTCTGCTAATTTGATATTTCAGAGCAAGCTTTTAGATTTGCAGACACGATCACATTCCAAAGCTTCTCTCACGTGGAGCCCACTTCACCAACGTTTGGACTATCTACATGTGTTGGTATCACTGTACAGCCATGAGCTAATGCACAATTAGAGCACTAAATAATAAGAGAAGGAGGAGGAGGAGAAAGAGAGAAACAAAAACAGGAAAAAATGTACACCTTCACTATCACCGCAAGCCACATGCTCCTTCCATCCACAAATAACAAACCTGTACCAATATACCTTCTATTTTCTTTTTGTATGATGTTTTTACTATCTCTTTTATTCCAAAATCAAAGTTAATAAAAAATAGTAATTATTAACTTGAACTTTTTAAAGCCAACAATTTAATTAAAATATTTTCCCCGAATTATCAATTTGGTTTGATCAGCATAATTAATTCGTTCGCTTATCTTTATAAAAGTGAAAAATAAAATATCATTTACCCAACCTCAATTTAAGGAATCAGTTTACCATAATATCCATAAGAAATGGTCAAAAGTTGAATAATCAAGTAGCTAAAAAGGATGTATTTTTGGGTGAATTTCTGAGTGGCAGTGATCTAAATAAAGCTATACAGGTTGTTTACATGAGCAATATAGCACATTAATTATTTGGAACTTTTTATGGATAGATAATAATATGCATCCTTCTCGTAATACTGTGATGATAAAACTAAAATAAATAATGCAGGACCCACACTGCATTGTTTTCTTTTTGGTTACTATTGGATGAAAGGTCAGTTATCAATGAAAAATACTTTCCACCTTTTTGTTCTTTTCTTCATAATTTAATATATTTACGTAATTCCAGCATTAAATTTCCATGCAACATGCCAACGTCTTTGAACCGAAGTTCCTATTAGAAGTAATCCATCTGAGAAAAGCTCATCACGGTTATTTTTTGAGTCTGAATAATAATAAGGGAAAATTAAATTTTTTTTAACCCTACATTTTTTTACTCCATTAAAATCCAATCCTGAAATGTTTTCACAGCTATTCCTTAAATTTTAATTCATTGCAATTTAATATCTATAATTTTGACTTGATTATAACTTAGTTTAACCAATTAAAAATTCAATTTCTAGAATGAGTCAAAACCATATGAATTAAATTATATCGAGTTAAGATTTAGAAATCAAGTTACAACTTAATCAAAATTATGGGAATTAAGAAGATCAATCCTCTCTAATAATAAAATGGTTTCCGTGAAACATTCATTTGCAAATCATGATACCTTTTTCAGCAATGATTAAGTGGTTCTGTTTTAAATTTTTAATATAATTAAGCGTAACATATCTGCCATACAAATTATTTTCTGCTCCTCGAGAGCTGGCAATTGCTATGTGGTGATATTTTTGAAAGTGTAGATATCTTGATTTGATTAATTTCAGATGCGAACTAGTTCTGAATCTTATAGTTAATTATATTTTGTTGTTACATTTTATCATTTTTTCCTTAATATATATTTTGTATTATATATACACGGCAAACACAATATGAATTAAGGGTACGTAGATGCAGAAATTCGATCAAGTCAATTATTTATATTCTCCTCACCAACAAAAAAATAAACACATCAATTATATATATAAATATAAATTACCTCTGATTCTTAATATAAGACTTTCTTTTACTTTTATTTTAGTCTTAAATATAAGACTCTAATCCACTTTGTCTCTCATATTTATGCTTTTTTCTCAAATAGTTTTTCTAATAATGGTTATTCTAACTAATATACTTGATTAGCAAGGATATTTTAGGATATTTTAGGATAACTTATTTTCTTAATCTCCTCAAATTAGTTAACTAGCTCTTATAATTAGGTCAGGAGGTAGTATTATATTATCCCCCATCTCACACGATGAACCATTTTCTCATTTCATTTACTGAAACAAATTAAAGAGGCTTTTGCTTCACTTCGAATCAGTGGTATATTAAAAATTAGGTTCGATCAAGTAAGATATGGAAAAAAAATTAAATCAATTATATTATTATTCAAAAGGGCAACAAAAATTCATTGTACATTGTATTTTAGTGGCGTTTTCCACATAACATATGCAATGTGTCACTTTTTTAATAAAGATATAGATTAATTATTCCTCATATTTTTGGAAGAAAGATGTAAAGGGTGTTCGGGTAGAAACAAAATCATAGTTTTAAAAGTGTCTTTACAGTATACGAAGTAAATGTGTAGAGAAATTTGTCTCGATTTACAAAAAAAATCTCTGAGAAGTGCTTTTAGGGTTACCCAAATACTCCCGTAATAACACACATTATGCATAGAAATAGAATAGAGTGATCATAGGCTATATATAAGTGTTAACTTTTCCGAAAGCATGTTAGAACTCTGTAATAATATTGCCAAAGCAAAATGTACGATGTTGGCCTTTTTGTCAAAAAGAGAGTAAAGAAAAACATAGACACTTACTTTATACATCATGCACTTAACTAAGTTGAATGCTTTGCTTTGCACCAAAAAAAAAAAAGTTGAATGCTTTGCTCAAAAGAAAGAAAACTAAGTTGAATGCGATCCAAGTAATTATGGGGTTAAAAAAATGATCATTTTATATACGTTGGACCAAAATGAGAATGAGTCTTTTCTTACATACATAATCTTTCGCCATAATGCTTAATGATAGAGTTCTGGAATCATTTGAGGCGCATGCGCTTTATTCTCTCCCATCTTTCTTCTTATGCTCTCTCTTCCTATGAATTACAACAAATGATAATGTCGCAAGCAAGGAAGCCTGATTAGTAGAAACTACTGGTATATAAAAACTTATTTGAAATAGCGATTGGAGCATTCAAAAACAATTTTTAATCAATATTTATAGAATATGAGATAAGTACATGTGAGAAGAGTTTTGTCTCGATTTACATAAAATTTTTTATAAGTATGACTCTAAATAAACCCTAAGTAAATGATTGGGATTTTGAATTTTAATATTTATAATAATTTAATTACCGGGTGGATTCTATTATTTTATTTGTCCTCGACACATCAAGAGAGAAACCTAATCTGTGTCCTCGATAGTGAGAAAATTACACAATGATTATTAACTTGTAATACAGCAATCGTCTCGCGTGGAGGGATGAGACATGGATCGTATGGTCACAAAATGGATTGAAATCTTGAAATAAATATCCCGTCGATTATTTTAACTTGTTTATTCGACGACTTTTATGGTCCCTTTCTCTTTTTTTTTTTTGTCCCCTACTCTATGTATTAGGTTGAATAGTCAGCTTCAAAAGAAGAAAGCAGTGACCATACTTTTGGAAAATGAAAGTGGAATGCAAGGCTGTGCTTAAATATGCATGAATATATTATCATCATCTCAACAAGTAGATTTAATAAGCATAACATAATTTTCCAACTATTTAAAATTACAATGAGTTAACTATTTAAAATCTAAGGAAGTTAATGTAAAATCATACTCAAAGCTTAAATCTCTTTATTCGTTTATATATGCACAAGTATACATGAAAATATAGATATTCATCATATATAGGAAGACTCGTTCTCTCAAATAATGGACCAACGGTAAGTGTAACAAGCGGCATTCGTATAGCCATAACATATCTTGCGAACGGGAGCTGTTTAAGTGGTGGGAATATAATACAAATTTTTGAAGTCAACATTAAAATATATATATATATATATAAACGAAAGTAAATCTTTAAAAACTGATGGGAAAACAATGGCAACAATGATAATATACGTATAGCATGTAGGAGCAGCATAGTTGTTTGATAAAACATGTTTTCTACAGTAGTGGACAGAATAAGGGGACGATGGATCTATTACTATTTTAGTTTTTGTCACCTGCACTAACATCCATTAGTTTAGTTTACAACATCATTTTAACAAAAGTAAGTAAAAGTTAAACTCTTGATAAGCTAATTCTCCAGGATAGTATAATCCTTTTTTGCAAATTTGTATTCATAATGAAAAAACTTACAAGAATGCTTTCGTTGAGATCTCTCAACATTTACGGACAGGGTTATTAACAGAATCATTTCCAAAACATACTTATGAATGAGTTTTACATTAATAATCACTCTGCTCTCGAATTTTATGAAGCTAATGTGAGATGATGAGTGCAGAATAAGCAGGTTCGGATTTGCTTAGGAACAGCCAAAAAATGAATGGTCTCTCAGCTGGGTTGTCATTGTCTGCTACAACTTCAACCGATTTGCCTTCCTTAGCAATGTCTTTTGACCCAACATTCATTTGACCATCCCCCTCATCATCTCCCTCACTTCTTCAATTATTACTTCATATATCTCTATATCTCGGTATATGTCGATCTCATCACTACCCCCCACACACCCAGATCCACCAAACAGCCAATTCCAAACCCCATTTAGCTTACAATCCAAGCAAACTGTTCAATTCAATTCAATCTCATACAACCATGTCGGTGGTTGTTTGGATTCACAGCTACACCTTAACACTAAAATTCCATTTTCGAAGGAATCATATAGTTTACACAGAGACTGCCACCAACAAAATAAAAGATTTCTAAGATTTAATTAATGAATGAGCAACAAGACGAAAGATACACACGAAACGAGTATCAGTAAATATAATAATATTGGTTACCTTAATTAACTAGCTTTGCTCCACAAATTCCCCCATTTCATTGCTTAATCTACAGCTGCAGCAAAACGACCGCGTGATGTCGAAAACGACACAATGACACTTTACCAAACTGAACCCACCAACCACCCGCTTCTTCTCTTCTCTCTTTCAATCAGTCATCACTGTTCCTTCTGACCAGAGCAAAATACCCCAAAACGGCACACAGTGCGGCCACCACATTCCCTTCCTTCAGCAGAACCCTTATCACGAAACTCAAGATCTCCTTCGTGATCTTCCTGCCTTCCACCACCAAAGTCTTTCTCGGCTTCCCGAAGAACGCCAGCAACACCACCACCGTGATCCACGTCACCAACACGGCCGGCACCATCACCGCCAGAGCCGCCGCCATCGAGATCACCCCGAACATAACTCCGAGAAGCACCGACGCGTAAAGCGCCGGCCAGCTAGAACTCGAAGACTCTGCCTCTAAATTGTACCAGGAAAGCATCGATTTCAGGAAATTCCACGAACAGACGAGCAGGATGCCGTACACAAGCACGAAAATACACGCCCAGGTTCTCCTCTTGCTCATGATCCTCAGGAGGAACATGTAGGAAGACGGTGGCGACGACGAAGCTGGAGGCGTAACCGGTGTTTCTGGTCCCACCTCTTCGATCCTTGCCATTGACGGAAACAATCTGAGAAATTTTCCTCCCGAGTTGGCAACTTCTAAGCTTTATGCAAAGGTACTGTTTGATTGATTTGCCCGTTACCGTCCTTTTTCTTTGCAGGATTCTGACGCAGTGACTGTGACTCTAGTCGGGGAGTATGTGGGTTGTGTGAAGTTTCAGCCATCGACGCTTCGGTCAGTGACCCGCGCGCGGAAACGCGTCGACGGAACTCTCCATCTAGTTTTGCCACGTGGAAATTTATTGGGTCCTGATTGGTATGTGTTGCCACGCGTTTGGTGTTAATGAAGTGAAATCTTGCTGTAGTTTTGGGGATTCTGTGAGGGTGGAATGGGAATCCAAAGAGGAAGTAAAACACACGTCGTTTCTTTGGAAGTCTGAGCTCCAGGTCGGTAGTGCCAAAGCCCTGACTTGTAGACTTGCAAGACCTATGGTCTCTTTGCGGGCGAACACTCTGGCCCAATATTATCCTAAATTCTATACAAAATTTAGTTAATTAATAAAATTGATTATTTATCATTATTATGTAAAATTATGGTACACTTTTCTTAGGATACCATATTTTAATAAAGCTATTAAAAGTGAGAGATAAAGGGAGTGAGGGAAAAAAATTACAATTAATGAGGTAATGCCTGAAAAAAATATTAATTAAATGAAAGAGCTAAAGTATATCAATGTCATATAATATCCACGACTAAACTATATCAGTAAACTAAGTCCTACATTTAGAATAAAAAAAATAACTTTTTTGTCAAAAAGAAAAAAATAATGTTAAACGGACAATAAATGTCGTCTGTAGTTAGTCCATAACGTGGGTGTGATCTTTTATCTTTGGTGATCCTTTTGTTTTCTTTTGACGCAAGGTGTCATACTGCTAGGGTCATAGATGGCCGTAACATTAATGAACAAATTAAAAGCAAAGAAGCAATGTGGTGGTATCATTTATGATGTTAGAGCCTTTGAAATTGAAGCAAAGTTTAATATTGTCAAACTATGTCTACTGTTTGCTGTCTAGTATGAAAACAGTAAAGTTGATCAATAAGAATTGATTTGGTTGATAAAGAGTCAGCTTATAACTTATAAAACTATAAGTTTGAATTTAGCTACTGATACAAGGACCTTATTGATAAGCAATCTGTAAGTATCTCTATAAGTGCTCCTTGAGCTTGGAGGTATGTCCTAATTCCAATAAGTCTCCAAGATCTAACTCACATAAATTTTTTTTTACAAAAAAAAACCATAAAAAATCATAGTTATGCTTTTAATCTGCCCGTTTTCTTTTATATTTTACCATTTACGTAATCATAAATTAGAAATGTTATAGACTCTACATTTTGTTTAACAGAAGAAGAACCCAATCAATTCATGTTAATGGGACTTGTAAACTTAATACTTTCTCAAATTCTCAACATAGGGTTCAGTTTGTAATTTAGTTTAATTTGAGTTAGAGGCCACGTGTTATGTTAAGAAGCGAAGGTAGTAACCTTTAGCTTTGTTTTACTTCAATAGGTACAATACTTCATATGAAATTATAAAGCCCTTCTATATGTTGACAAAATACCACATCCAAGTTTTATGATTTTGGCCGGACTGTCCAACCGTGATTTTCTACCCTTAGAAGAAAAGATCCTTCCTTTTATGACCAGTTGGAGGTGAGGAGGCATTTGAATCTCTCGACATCAGATTCACAATCGCGATCTCTAATCCGCTGGGTTAAAGTCCTCACCTTACTAGCATATTCCCTAAAAGCAGGAAATATTTCCTCTTTTCAGCCATTTTGATTTAAAATGTGCGTGAAAGTTCTCCCACCCCCGTCCAAAAATTTCTCTATATAAACAAATTTAGTACCCGACAGTATTTTAACATGATTGTCTCTGATAAGAGGATATCAATACTTTAAAAAAAAACAAACAAACAAATGTTTGACAATTGATACATGACATTAATAGCATCTGTTCCTTTATATTTTTTGACAGAAAATACGTGGACTTCAAATAGAAACATATTTTGGATTGGGGAAGTGGAGGCAAATAAATGGGAAGCAGTGAACAAAAGTTGGAGTGGTTGAAAGTGGGGAATGGGCTTTGGTGGGATGAGTTGAGGTCATGTGATGAGTTGGTGGCCTGCAACACAGAACACAAACCAGCACAGTACAATATAATAGTAGCAGTGGAAAGACCACAACATGATGATCATATCCAACCACTTATTAAGACCAAGAATAGCAAAATTAGGTGAAAGCTTTCTCACTTTCTGGTCTCACGAACACAAATAAAATTGCAATTATTCTGAACAATATGCTCATTGCCTGGGTTAGTGGAACACGTGTTGTGTTGCTCTCACATGAATACCAATCTATCTACCGCATTCAAAATCTATCAGTTAAAACCATCCGAGAGAAAAAGGCTTTTTAAGTGTAGTGGGGCAAATGTGGGATGGTTATAATAATGCCTTTGCTGATTTCATTTCATCCACCACACCCTCCCCCGCTTCACTCTCATTAATTATATTTTCTCCAGTGTACTTTATTACTAAATATAATAAGTGGGAAGCTCACTTAACATGTTATGCAATCCCACCACCTGATTAACTAAACAATTATATCTGTACTGGTTTGGTTAAAAAGTTAAAGGCCTGGTCAACATAACATAATCACACACAAGTCTAACCGAAACTCCACACACACACAACAATACACTTCTGTAATCTCTTCAACTCATCAAATTATATCATCCAGATAAGACCATGTTTTAAAAATCTTTCGTGAGGAAAAAATGACATAACCTCACATATATATAAAATTCTATTGGATAAACCATAACTAAAATGTCGTCTTTATTATTGTTCATGTTTGAATTCAAACTAAAAGTTTTTTATACAAAGTCGTGAGGGGGCGAAGTATCGTGGTTTGCAATTTGCGACATCATGGTGGCCCTACCTAACGTGTTCTATTTTCAAACTTAAAAAAAATGATGTTAAATAAATTAAAAAAAGCATTGTATTCATTTGTTTAATGAGGGGTTCCTTTCCACTGTTTATAATGAATAACAATGCAACTTCCTACGACAAACTCTATCTCATCTTTATCTTTATATATATGTAGAAAAGGTCAGAGCAAAATGTAGAATGTTTGTTGCTTTTTGCAAATGAAGCTCAAGTTTCAACGACGATGATGACAACCGTTGGTGATGACACGAGGAAGCTTTTAAAAGATATAATATGGGTATTGGGAGAGGTATATCTCTTTTTTGTGCCTGCCTTTTTGTTTTTAATAAGCACATTGGATCCTTTTACTTTTCCTTTTTGGGTTCTGGAGATTAGGTATTCATTTGCAACCTTATCATCATAAAATATGATGAGCATTTGCAAACCTGTTGCAGTGTTTAATCCAACCGTGGTTCAAACTAAAATAATATGGGAATTGTTTTGTTTTAAAAATTATAAAAGTTTCACTTCCGAACATATATAGATCAGACAAAATCTGCATAGTCTGAACTATTTTACGTTTTTTAAAAAAAATAGTTAAATGTTGTTTTTTTAATTAAAAATTAAGGCGCAAATTTACTACTTATTATTATTTTGCCATGTGCATCCGATATCATAAAATTTCTTTAATTATGTAACAATACAGATAAACATTTTTAAATGGAGCAAAATTATGGTATAGCTTAGCTAACATCTGTTATTTTATAACGTTTGAACGTCAAGTAAGTCCCATCACACTCAAGTGAGCAATAATATGTTTAGACAGGAGATATTGTAGTGGAAAAATTGCAAAAAAAAAAAAAACTGCTGAAGTAGAAAAATTACAAATAGGGACTCGTTACAATATTAGTATGTGTTTTGACAACAATTTTTATGAACAGATCTTTGTGTGTAATTTTTTAATTTTAGTGATCTTTTTTCTGCGATTTATCCTATTGTATTTTTGCTCCATTTAAAATGTTTCCCTGTATTGTTATTAAAAAAATTATGTTAGATGAGTGTAAGAGAATGCTTTCCTTTAACCTTTATTTTATTTGTAATTCTACCTATTAAAACTAAAAAGATTATTAAAAATATATTTAAAAAATAAAAAATATTGCATCTGTACTATTCAATTTTAATACCCACTCCAGATTTATGGCTAGCACCTCATGGTTGTTATTATGTAGGAGTATTTCGCTTTCCATCTTTGAAATTTGAACTAATCATCTTTATTGAGTTGTTACGTGGACTGCGTGTTCAAATTATGATTTTTATTACAAACCAAAAAAAACAAAAGAAGAAGAAGAAACTTCTCATCAGATAAGAGTGCCGTTTGGTCAAAGCATTTTGCCACGACTACAAAATTATACGTAATTTAATTTCATTTATTTCCGGGTCACATCCTGATCTTGCTCGCCAGGAATAAAAAATTCCAGTTAAAAAAAATCCCACAATTAATTAAAAAAATTTATCAGACCAATTTTTTTAGCATCCTAAGCGATCATGTGTGTGTCTTCTTTTATATATTTGGAGATCTAATTTTATTTTTTTAAAATCATGGCCAAAAATTTGATTTTAAAAAACATTAAATGTAACTTTTCTGAGTATGATTCAAACAAATAGAAAAAAAGAATGAGAAACCTTAATATACCATGCATCTGACTTTTTTGTGTGGCAATTTTATGAAAAAACCCGCACAGAAAATAATTTAACAAATTCAAATCGATATGTATTGTTTACTATAATCTAAAGGAGAGAGAGATGAACAGCCAAATTTTGTTCCTAGTGAAGACGGAAGAGAGAGAAAATAGTATTATTTAATTATTAAATAATTTTTAAAAACGCGTTTAATACAGAATTAAAAATGAGAAACAGAACTCAACTACCTGCCTGGAACGCAAAGCCGACGCCAATCGTTTCAACGACGGAAAGAGGAAGCAGGATGGGGAGTCATACACAGTATAAAAATTGGAAATTTGATAAGAGAAAGAAAGAAAGTGGAGCCTTTTGACCGAGCCCAGCCGGCAAAAGCCGTCTACGAGACTATAATGCTCTTTTAATTTCATGAATACGCGTTGGACTTTTCTGCTGTTCTTAAAGCCATACCCCCCAACTTCTTTGTTATTACGCTTCTGATCTATCCCTTTCCTTACGCTCAATTTGAAGCTCTACTGCGAGGTATATTCAATCGCCACAATCCCATACATTGCTTTCCTCTATTTACTTTTTATTTTTCAGAAGGTTTTTATCTTCCAAGTTTGCCGCTCTTTGTGCCGGGTTATTGGAGAGTTGCGTGTTTGATTGAAGTCAGTGACCTTAGAATTTGGTCAGTTTGAAGATTTCAAAGAGTTGGATAAAGCTTGAGTTTTTGGATTCATGGTCAGTGCTTTGACAGATGGTTATAACATAATATGGGTATGAGCCTATGGGCACAAGTTCAATTTTTTCCTTTTGGACAAATAGAATTGGTTTGTAACTGCGCATGAATCGTTATGAAGGAGTTGATCGAAGCAGAAACTTTAGCTTGTGAGCACCTGAGCTTTGCTTTTGAAGCGTGAAATAGTTATAAATTAAAATTAGCTAAGCGCAACATGGGCTGCATATGTTCCAAGACATCAGCTGTGGAAGACAGCCGAGAAGACTTGACGAGGAAATCATTATCTAGCAAGAGAGGGTCAGAGCTGCGTGTTTCAAGGTTGAATTCCTCCAAAAGAAATGAGGGTGTTTGGGCAACTGATAAATTAGTTGGAAATGATGTGAAGATTTCATTGATTGACAAGAAAACCAATGGCTCATTTCAGTTGTATGATGATCGAATGGGGAATAAGGAAATAGAGAAGCCTGAATTAACTGTCCTTAACAATCCCGGTCTTGGAAAGGTTCCAAAGGCTGCAGAAGGAGAGCAGGTTGCAGCAGGATGGCCGAATTGGCTTTCTTCTGTGGCTGGTGAAGCTATCAAGGGATGGATACCTCGGAGCGCCAATACTTTTGAGAAGTTAAATAAAGTAAGTTACTAACTATCTAGCCTTGTTTACTCGGTCTACGTTTTGAATCACACTTCTATGATATGTAATTCCAACAACGCTGTGAATGCACTTGCCAAAATTCTGTACTCATTACCATGTCATAGAAACTCCTCTTTTGACGTTATAGTTAGATGTGGTGGAAATTTATAGCTGGAACCGGTTTCTTGTTATGCATATAAATAGGCTAATATTTGCATTGACGGAAGATAACACATCAAGATGATTAATACAAGCAGTCATGCGGATGTTTAATTCATGAAACATAGAGCACGTTACCTCTATTTCTTAGGAAAGAACGCAAGGTACTTTAGGAGAATTTGATTTCAAAAACTGGGAGACCAGATACTGCATAGAAATTCGGTTTGCTATTGTTTGTGATGTTGGGGAGTCCCTGAAAAGGTTATTTTTCATTATTTCGTACAGAAAGAGAATACCAGTTGGGCTGTTCTAGTTATGTCTTATTGCAACGTGAGTTTCTTTTATATGGAGATGATGCTCTGTTTGTTTCTTTAACAAGCCATGCGATGACATCTGACCTTACAGATTGGACAAGGAACTTACAGTACTGTTTATAAAGCACGTGATTTGACTCATCAAAAGATTGTTGCTTTGAAGAGAGTTCGGTTTGATAATCTTGATCCTGAGAGTGTAAAGTTTATGGCAAGGGAAATCCTCCTTCTACGCAGACTCGACCATCCAAATATTATCAAGTTGGAAGGCTTGATAACATCTCAGACCTCTCGCAGCTTGTACCTCATTTTTGAGTATATGGAGCATGACCTTTCTGGACTAGCATCACGTCCTGGCATTAAGTTTTCTGAACCACAGGTAATGATGAATTCCTTTTGATATTTGCTTTCTGTCTTCTTCATTTTGATGTGAAAAGGTCTGAAGTAGCGTTTCTTATCAGGTCAAGTGCTACATGCAACAACTTCTTAGTGGATTGGATCATTGTCATAGTCGTGGTGTCCTCCACCGTGACATAAAGGGCTCAAACCTTCTCATTGACAACAATGGCATCTTAAAAATTGCAGATTTTGGGTTGGCAAGTTTCTTTGATCCCAATCATAGTGTTCCATTAACCAGTCGAGTAGTTACTCTCTGGTATAGACCACCGGAACTTTTACTTGGAGCATCTCATTATGGAGTTGCGGTAGATTTGTGGAGCACTGGTTGCATACTTGGGGAACTATATACTGGCAGGCCTATATTGCCAGGAAAAACTGAGGTATGATATTAACAATCCAGTTTCATCATTTAATACCAACCTATGAATGCCTTCCCTACTGATCATTAGACTTCGTTAATGCATTGAATGCATGTTATATAGGATTTCTGTTGATTTTACTCAAAGAGGTCAGATGAGAATGCTTGAAGCCTTGAAAATTTTGAGCATAATCATTATTTATGAATGAAAAATTACATATGAAGTGCAAATACATAGCGGAAATTAATTCATTCCTGTATACTATTTGGGTAAAATAGTAGCGGTCACTTTTTGTTGGTGCGTTATGATAGGATCTAATATAGCTAAAGTGAAAGGAAAGAATCTTTACTAGATATTGTGAGCAAGTATCTTAACTCAAAACTAATAAAACTAAGAATATTGTTAGAGCAGTAGGTGGAAAGATCTGCAACACATCATACTTTAGTAATCCAGAAAAGAGAACCTCCAATTGCATAAACAACTCAAAATCTTACCCTACCTCTATTAGCTTCTACCTATTTATACCATAAAAGGATTGGGATTTTTTCTGTGCCTGAAGATTAAACGTATTAATTAAAGAATATAACATGAAGAAAGCAAATAACTGCCTATCTACTATTTAGTGGCTGGTACATGCAGTAGTTGTTCTGCCACACCCACTCCCCTGTTGACTTTTCCACCCACTACTTCAAAACCTTCTGATCTCACATTTCCATATCCTCTCGGTTTCCCCTGTCGCCCCACAACTACTCCCTTCTGCAGTCCTGGCCCTCTTCCTACTTCTGCTGTAGGTTTTCAAGGGTTGTGGGACCCTATGAGGTTATCTCCTTGTCTTTTTTCCCCGTTCTGTCCACATTCAAATTTACAGTGAAGTCACAAGTGGTTTCCACTTTCTGATGCACAATTCCAACCTCATGCATACTGGAGTAAACAGATGGTTCCAATTTCTCAAATTGATATTGTATGTTAATGTAGTTATATGTAATTCAATTTAGTTCCACGTAGGTTGAGCAACTGCACAGGATTTTCAAGCTTTGTGGATCACCATCTGAGGACTATTGGCTTAAACAACGATTGCCACATGCTGCAGTATTCAGGCCTCCACATCGGTACAGACGGTGTATTGCAGAAACATTTAAAGAATATCCATCTGCTTCAGTGAGGCTCATAGAGACACTACTTTCTGTAGATCCTGCACAACGAGGGACCGCAGCAGGTGCCCTAAAAAGTGAGGTATGCCGGCTATGTTTCCTGTATAACCTTTAAATGTATAGTCTGTTGAGACTTGAGACTGAGCTGTCCTATTGCTGAATGATCCAAGTGGCACTGAGTAACTTCTCATCTTAATGTGTACCTGAGCGGCAAAACTCTTTTTTGTTTTGTTCTCCTATTTTGTATTTTTGTCCTCATTTTCCTTCCTTTATTTTCTCAGCTATATAATCTTTTCATATTAATCTTCACCAATTGCTGGGTTGCTTATCAGTTCCCCAGTGACCTGTTGATTAAATATCACCTTTATCATTTTTAAGACATGGGCAGATAAAAATCATGAAGTTGGAACTTAAAGAGAGCTTTGTTTGTAACATACAAAGAAATAGTTAAATCAAGATATATATTGTCACCATATTGCTATATTGGGAAGTAGAAAGTAGCTGTGTCTCTCCTGCAATGCCTTAATTCTCGTCATTGATATTTTTCCTTTATTGCTAGTTCTTCACTACTGAGCCCTTTGCTTGTGATCCATCAAGTTTACCAAAGTATCCTCCCAGCAAAGAGATTGATTCCAAATTACGGGATGAAGAAGCCAGAAGGTACTTGCTATTCAGTAATTCTCTTAAATTGAGGAAGAAACTGAGAGATTTATTTTGTTTCAGCAAACTAGTATTCGAGCTGTTTGCCTTTTGAACTGCTTGATAAATTCATATTGGTGAATAAGGGGCTTTCTTGTTATTTAAGCATACTATTAATAATTATTAATAATTAGATATATTTATTCATCGTCTCAGGCAAGGAGCTATGGGAGGAAGGGAGCAGAAAGTTGGCTCAGGAGTTAGAAAAGAAAAGGAACCTGGGTTAACTGTTTCATCAAAGCAATATGTTGACCCCCGTATATCAACGCAGGTAATCTAAAGTACTTTCTAATCCTAACTTTCCATTGGTTTTTCCTAGCTGAAACTAAATTTCATGAGGATATTGTGTTATACTAAAGTTTACACGTAAAGCATACAGTTGAAATTGGAATAAATAAACTAGAAAAAAAGGCCGGCAGATTTGTGTGCATCAGCAACGATTTTTTATGCCTTTGCTTTTCTTCGAGCGAGACCTACCCTGTTCTAGTGATCCTGTGTTTGTGTCGCCAAATCTAAATCATTGGGGATCGGAATCTTCTGAGTGGGTTTTTTTTTTTTTTTTCCACCCTAAAAAATTCTCTCAGAGGGACGTAGACCATAGTTGTAAGAAAGCAGAGAGGTGTGGCTTTGTATTACTCGTGCCTATTGCTTGGACGTGCTTCTACCTTAACATGTAGATGTGCATTACAACTACGAATTACGCACCTGTTATGTTCATGCTTTTATATGTGTCTTTCTGATTCTCAATTTATCGGATTCTTATTTGATGCAGCAGGGACAACGTTCCAATTCAAAGAGCCGAAGTGAAGTGTTTAACCCCCACAGAGAACCTGTTTCTGGATTTTTGGTTTATCCCCCCCAAAAACAGTCACATGTTAAAGAAATGGAAAATAATTTCAGTGGGCATCTTTATAAGAGGCCTTCACATTCAGGTCCACTGGTTCCGGGTGTTCAATTAGCAAGGGGTGGAAAGGAATTTGATGAAGGGCCTCTTGGTTCGAACAGAGTCAACTTGGCCAAACTATCTGGCTTAGTTGCCTCGAGGACTTCATCATCCGAAGATCAGGAGGAAAAACCAATTTCCATGCTGCCTAGAAAAACAATTGAAGTTAAAAAATCCGTGGAGTCAAATAATGTATCAGAGTCAAGAAGGCATGATAGGAAACGCCAGTCACCACGAATTGCGGATCTCGGTCAAGTAGAAAATGCAAGAGGCTCCACTCAAGAATTGACTCCGGTTGGTCTTCATTCATTTCTTGTTTTATTTGATTTACTTGGTCAATTTTTGGCAGTGAAGGCCGTGATTGTGTATCTAATGCCGCTTTTGTTTTGTTCTTTTCTTGTATTGCTTCCATTATCCCTAAATTCATAAATTTTCCTGGGATTTTCAGGGAGGCCGTGGCTACATGGAAAACAAGATCTATCTCTCTGGTCCATTGCTAGCTTCTGCAAACAACATGGATCAGATGCTTAAAGAGCATGATCGAAAGATCCAAGAATTTTCAAGACGAGCACGAATTGACAAGTCAAGAGGTGGGAAAATTCGTGCTTTGAGAAAGTAGGCTCCAATTAGTTAGTTATTCACTTGTTGCCAATTGTGCAGCAGAATATATAATTTAATGACTATATATATACATATATATATATATATATGCCTACATTATGTAGCAGAGTGCTTTACTGTAATATTTAACTACGTAAACTGAAGGCATCTATAAGAAGACATTGATGCTACTTCCTCTACTCATATTTTTCGTATACATACGCAACAAGCCAATTTTTTGAAGCACCATAAGATCTTTGATGCTTCCTCCATAGCTATCAATTTGCAGAAGTTCTGAGAAAATTACTTTACATCCTCTCAATGCCAAAAGATCGCTGTAATATTTGTTACCATTCGCTAGGTAGGAAGAGAGGTGCATTGATAAAGGTAATAATGGAGACTAGTTCTTTTTTTTCCTCATTCTCCAATGAGCATAATAATCTCTTGCTACTTTAAACAACTAGAAATAAGTCGGGGGCAGTAACTTTTCTTATGTTTGGTTCAGGATTAGCGCAAGAAGCTCGGGAGAAAAATGATGTGGTAAAACAAGCTTTACTAACAAATTAATGATTAACGATGATGAATCTTGTTTGCATCAGATCAGTTTAACTGACCTTAAAACTTGATATAATTGGATGGTTCCAGCCTTCCAGGTATCGTCAATGTTTCTATCTGCGAGATGCGACACGTAACCCACTATTCTGAAGTCTTAAGCTTTAACAAAAGAGACTGAAAGAGGAGGCCCCCTCAGGACATTATGCGCAGATTTTGCAAGACTTCAAAGTAGCCTTTTATGGTTTTTTGCCAATGACTACAAAGTAGAATTTTACTTTTGGCCACTCAGACATCTTTTCTTTTTGCCAAGAACTTTACCATCTTGCTCATTACGCGGAAATTGTGAAGTAGACCGCAGTAAGTTAAGTAGAGCGAATGAGCCATAAATAAACATGGTAGCCCTCAGACCAAAAAAAGGCAATAAAGCAGGTTGGATTTCTTCTAGTGAGACTAGGAGAAATCTTGAGTTTGAAGGCAGACATGGTTTACCCGCACGCACACGCACACGCACGCACACATGCGGGCGTGCGCACAGAGAGAGAACTAATTTATAAAGAGATGTAAATTTGTCAAGCAACAAAAGTTTACACGGCTTTTCACAAAAAAGGAAGGGGGAAAAAAAAAGGTTTACACGGGTCCTCGAAATCTCAACCTTGCAATATATGGCATTCCACACATGCAACGTAAATATTTCCCACATCAGCAGATTTTTTTTTTTTTAATTTTTAGACCAAGGAAGCTTTGTTTTGTTGGGTTTCAGGTTTCACACACAAAAAACCGGCCTGCTTTATTTGCATTTAACAGGGACAATGAAGAGTACTCAGACCCCATTTACTTCAATATGCAATAAAAGTGACTCCTTCAAAATCAAAACTTTCGTGTGATTAATTCATTTGATTCTACATCGCTTACTTTGGTAATCCAAGTGTGTTATAGAGGCTTCAAAGATTGTTCCAAACACGGGTTTGCTGCAGGATAGCCTTTATGCATTATCGCTTCTTCTGAGTTTCAAATTTTAATGAAATTTCCTCACAACTTGGGCTAAGTTGCATTAAAACACTCCCCTATGATATTTCAACCCATGAATTCTTCGGGAGACTGTAAATCTGTCCATTTTACTTCACCATTGAAGCCAAAAGCCCATTTCATGAGTAGCACTAACAAAGAAGGCGCTCCCAAATATATATATGGAGCATGGATTAAACGCAGATATATAGAATGACAAAACTGCGCGGTTGAGATTTTTTTGTCCTATATGCTTATCAATTTTAGCAAACCAAATCTATCTAATCTAAGAATACTTTCTACAAAAAGAAAAATGAATAAACCAAAAGCTGTCATAACCGAACAACTACCTCCCTTCTTCTAGGATGATCTCTGAGTCAGGGATGGCACATGAGTTACTTCCAGAAGTTTTAGAATAAGAACTGAACATCAAGTCCTCAAATCTTGGGTGTCTTGTGTTACAAAAAGCGAGAGCAGTTTCAGACCACATTGCTGCTGATTTTATTTTCTCAAGCAAATTCTCTCCCTTACTGTTCTGTTCTGTCTCATTGCCTTCAAATTCTCCTTCCAGCATATTAACCACTTGCCTCATTGTAGGCCTAACATTGGGATCAGAATTTGCACAAAGCAAACCCAAACGAAGCATTCTTTCCACCTCCTCAATGTCACATCCTCCTTTGGACTTTAACCTCTCATCAAGAGCACAGTGTAACTCATCAATCTCCATTAGGGACATTAACCACTCAGGCAACCCCGGCTTACCTTCTTCAATTGGTCTTCTGCCACAAACCACCTCTAAGACTAATATTCCAAAACCAAAAACATCAGTTTGTGTTGATGCTCTTCCTGACTTGACCACTTCTGGGGCTATGTACCCTATAGTTCCAATCACTTTTGTTGTGGTTGCTATCTTCCCATGATGATCATGCATGCGAGCCAATCCGAAATCTCCCAGTCTTGCATTCATATCTTTGTCAAGTAGAACATTGCTGGATTTGATGTCTCTATGCAAGACCTTAACTTCCCAACCCTCATGCAGGTATAGAATCCCAGAAGCTACATTCTTTAGAACTTGAATCCTCTCTTCCCAAGTCAGCAACTTTCTACCTTCCTCACTTTCAAAGATCCATTTATCTAAACTACCATTCTCCATGTAGTCATAGACTATTATGAAACTTCCCTTTTCTCTTTTGCACCAACCTCTGAAGTTCACCAGATTTCTGTGTTTCAGTCTTCCCAAGCTTGAAATTTCAGCCAAGAACTCTCTTATTCCTGATTCTGTTTCATGAGAGATTCTCTTGACTGCAACTTCTACTCCCTGCAAGACCCCTTTATATACTTTTCCATTCCCTCCTATTCCTATCACCTTCTCTTCTGAGAACCCACTTGTTGCTGCAATAATCTCTTGGTAAGTAATCCTATGGGGCCAATACTCTAACTCCCATTCTTCTAAATCTTCCTCCTCTGATTTGCCAATCCCTCTCCATAAAATGAAGCATCCCAGAGACACACAGCCTATGAGTATCATGCAGACAACAACTAAGCCTATGAAAGGAGCTCTTGATCCAGAAAAAAACCCTTTCTGATGCACAAATGAAGGCAGATCGGTTGTGATCAAAGCATCACCTATTGAAAAATTTGAATTACTATAACTCCAACCCATGATTCTTGTAGTATCCATCAGTAGACCCGTCGATGCACAAAACCCAACATACATTTGATCTAGAAAAACCTCTGAAAGATTGATTTTTTTGCTAATCAGAGGTTTTTTGGGTCTTTTTCTTCCTGCTTGAGCCATTGTGACATTAAACTGTGAATCTACAAACTCAATCCAGACCTGGTAATTTACTCCATTGTTTAACTTCAACCTCTTGAATTCCTTATCATTTTCCCCACCCCAGTAACCCGCATCATGTGAAGTAAAGGAAGTAAGAGAGTTTATGTCTATGCCAACATGATTGTCGTTTATGTCATTGAATTCTACATTTTTCCTGACATCAAACTCAACTCCAAAAGCATGGTTTTGAGGATTACCTTCATTAGTGAAGTTCAAAAAGCCAATGTACTGAGATGAGGTCGTGCCGTTTAAGCCCCTAGTAGGTGAGAATATGAAAGCAAAGCCATGACCAGTGAGAAAATGTTTAATGGGAGCAATAGAGAAAATGAAGGAAGTTGCAAAGGGAAGAGGAGTAGAAGAGTTAGCTGCTTTAGTGGGTATTTTGTAAGGGTAAAAAGCTCGGCTTATGGAGAAGAAACTACGATTACTAAGAACCAGAATAGATGACTGAATAGAAGAGTTTCCACATAGGAAAATGTTAGAAGATTTGAAGTCTGTGTTGTAGACAAATTCAGTTGCAGACACAGAGCTCCATGTAGTTTTCGAGTGAAGAAGGGTGATAAGAGAGAGAAGAGCAAGTGAGGTCATTTTGAAATGCTTTTCCATGAAAAGCAAGAACTTGGAGAGAAGGGAAGGAAGATGATGACTCAGTGAACATTCAAGTCAATTTCAATGGAGGCTTTTGGCTTTGGGTATGTTTCGTGGGAGTATAGCCTCTGCACTGAACTGAACCGACGCATCTTGGGTTCTAACTTTTTCTTTTGATGGTTGAAGATTGAAATGATTTTCAGGAGTGGTTGGAAATATTTAAGGCTTCGGTGCAATTAAAAACTCTGCTGTTTTTCAACGTGGTTGGCCTCGTGATTAGGAAAAATGACACTTTATACAGCTGCAAGTAATGCGAGGTGGCCTGAATTGATTAGGACTAAGCATTCTCCTTAAAATGTGTTATAAAGGAGACCAGTAAGTTTCAAATGACAATTAAATTTTGAAAAAACATTAAAAAATAAGTTGCAAATATCAAATAATTCAGGCTGATTGCAACTACGTAAATCTCAGTTTTGTAACGTAGCATTTAAATTTCACTAGTTATTTTTAATATTAACTCCCTATTAAATATAAAAGGCAAAGTATTAAATATAATATGTCAATTTATTTTATCTTTTATATTTATTTATTTTAAAATAGTTTTCTTGTTGATTGTGCGTATTAAAGAATTATTATTATTATTCTAATACACATAATAAACAATGATATTTTATAAAACACAATATCTATTTATTAAAAATAACTAATTTTTTTAATATTCACAAGTTAGTTACTCCCTCCTATGCTATTTATAAGAAGCAAAGTACTAAATATAATATGTCAATTTATTTTGTCTTTTATATTTATTTATTTATTTCAAAATAGTATTCATGTTGATTGCGCATATTAAAGAATTATTATTATTCTAATACACATAATTAACAATTATATTTTATAAAACACAGTACCTATTTATTAAAAATAATTAATTTTTTTAATATTCACAGATCAGTTACTCCCTCCTGTGCTATTTACAAGTTCCATTTTATAAATTCCAATTTAGGATTTGTATTAACATTTAATATATATTTTTATTTTGCTTTAATTATTTATTCTCTCCCCTTTATCATACTCTCTCTTATCACATTTTCCTACACATTCTTGTTCTTTTTTTTCTCATTTATTATAAAAGCATATTTAGAAATAAAACTGCATTTTTAATCTATTTATTGATTTTAACTAATTTTAACTAACAGTTCATTATCTATAAACTAGTTATTTGAAACTGACAATAAAGATAGAAAGGAGTATTTCTAACTCTCATATTAATAACTGGAGGTAGAAATTTGTAAATAAGATTTTTCATATTTGCACCGGTTTAGATTGGTATCTACAATTCATAGTACTACTATAACGATTTTTTCTGAAAAACTTAAATTTAATTAATTAGATAAACGGGCAGGAAGATCCCACCAAAGGAGGCGTGTGTGGCAGGTATTCATGCCCCCCCTTTCGGGTGAGACTGATACTGCCCTTTTTGTTGTATTGCATGAGTGAACTAAGGATTGATAAGGACAGGCTTTTACCTGGACTTGTAAGTTTATTTGATCATTATTTAAAACAATTCTTCTTGCGTAAAAATTGAGATATGTTACTAAGTATTCTAAATTTTAGAATTAATTAAAAATTTAATTTAATATTGATTATAAAATTTTAATCCAGTTTATTTTTTATATTTATTTTTTTAAAATTAAATTAGTCCTGATAATAATAAGATTATTTTTAAAAAGATAATAATTTTTTATAAATAATTATCTTAACTAATTTTTAAAATATTTATAATACTTTTTTTGAAAGAAAAAAAAAGTGCGGACATCATTAAAAGCCCGCTTTAGCGTGCACATGGGGGTATCGCGCGAGGCTATTGGGCCGGTGAAAGAAAAAAGAAGGAGGGACAAGTCAACCCAAGTAAGCGGCAATCTAGTGTTCCGTCAATTCCACTGCCACACTTTTGGTTATTATGGGTGATTTGTACCCAAAAAATTTGTTTTTTAAAATAAGTCAAATTAACAATCTTCTTTTTAATTTTATTTCTGTTGACTTAATAAAAAAATTAATTACCCAGTGAAAAAAAACATAAAACGCATTTTTTATGCTTTTATTTAATAAGAGTAAATGTGAAAAAAATATCAAATTAATGCATTTCTTGATTTACGAGGTTGGAGTAGAAATAACTTATAATTAAAAAAAATAGTGATATGTTATTAATCTCTTGACAACCTAGTCACTGAATAAGGTAATAAAGTCAGTAGCAAGTTATGTTAATGGTTGTTAGAAATAAAAAGAAAAATAAGGTTGTTTTAATGGCAAAGTCACTCCTTATGCCAGCTTGAATAAGGTCTGCAACTTGAATCTAAAATTAACATGTTTATGTGCATGATTGTATTTAAATAGCATAAATTTTTTTTTAAAAAAAAAGTTATAGAGCATGTTTGGTTGCAAGAATCCAACCCTTAAAAAATGAAAATAAGAAATAAGAAAGTACAGTAAATCGTATATAATCAGAACAATCTCCTGTATGAAAATTCCGTGACAAGACCTTTAATTTCAACCACTACCACTAACCTTGAACTGAAAGTTTTCTGGGATTTATTATCAAACTCTTTTATATTTCTTTCGAGTACCAAAAATCAAAGTCTTAAAAAAAGGACATTTACTCTGCATTCCCCTCCCCTTGAGCAGTTTTTGGATACTAAGCAGACCTTTACAAAAGGTAATTTTAATGTGACTGATCTCCTCTCTTTTGAAATCACTTTCATTATAGAATCTACTGCACTATGAAAACGTTAAGTCTTTTTTTTACCCCTCTTTGTACTCACGATAATGATTATAAAGTATAAAAATACTTTTAAAAAAGTCAACAACATAATCATCAGTTATTTGGAAAAAAAAATTATACTGTGTTAGGTTTTCAAAAACTTGCAGTATTGAACTTTAACACAAAATTGTCAAAGGCGATAGCCCATTTGAGTTTGATGGCTAAAATATTGGGCAAGAGCAGAATTTCAAACTGCACGTTAGAATGTTTGGCAGCGAACACGAAACTATGAGGATTGCATAAGAAAACCAAAAACAAACTAAGCACTAAGCAGACAATGCGGACATCCCTAGTTGATTGCAGTAATGTCCTCTATATTAGCAATTTCACACAAGCACAACATAAAAAAGAAAATAATGGGGGGAAAAAACACAAAAGCAAACACAAGAGAAATATATGAACCTACTTTTTATATTTAATTTCTCCCCCTTTAGTACCCTGATTCAACTATCATATTTGAGCTTGTTGGTAATAAGGATTGTAGTGTTCGATGTAATAGGGTATACAGTCTATTCCAAGCAACATATATGACCAACTTGGAGGTGAAAATGTTACTGTTTGTGATTAAATAAAGACATGAATCCAATTCGCTTCAATAGTCTACATGACTTCAAAACGCTTGTTTAGGCTTTACATGATTTGAGGCGTTTGGATTCAACATCAGCCCTTTCACCTTTTTCCCACTCCATAATTCTCACTTTCCAAATCACAGAACTCTGACAAAAACAAAAAATGACACATCTGATAACTTAAAAGAGTTAAATTGGAAAATCTCATCGACCATCCTGACCTGTGAAAGATAAATTAGGCCGGGAAATCTCCTCAACTGTAGGGTGATGAATGCCGTAACTGAAACTTCCAGCTTTTACTGCAGAAATGAGAGCAGAATTTAATTTTTCAATCAAGCTCAGATCCATCCTCTCTTCTTCCAACACCTTCATAACCTGTCTCATAGTAGGCCTAGCACCAGGCTCAGGCAGTGTGCACAGCAAACCAAGATGAAGAACCCTCTCAGCTTCATCACTGTCATGATCTCTCGTCCACTTTAAATGTTCATCAAGAGCATCATATAATTCTCCTCTCTCCATTAGACTCAAAACCCAAGCAACCAAACCTCGCTTGTCTTGTTCACTTGGTCTTCTCCCACATAACACTTCTAAAATCAACACACCAAAACTGAATACATCAGTATGAGCTGAGGCTTTCCCTCTTTGAACTAGTTCAGGTGCCATGTATCCAACTGTTCCAATCACTTGTGTGGTATTAGTCAGCTGCCCATGATGGCAAAGTCGAGCTAATCCGAAATCACCCAACCTCGCATTCATATCCTTATCGAGCAATACATTGCTTGCTTTGATGTCTCTATGCAAGACGCAAACTTCCCAGCCTTCATGCAGATACAATAATCCACGAGCTACGTCCTTCAACACCTTGATTCTTTCGTCCCATGTCAAAATTTTGTTCTCACCAGCATCAAATATCCTTTTGTCTAAACTTCCGTTGCTCATATAGTCATAGACTAGAATCAAACTTCCTCTCTCTTTCTTACACCAACCTCTCAATGGCACCACATTCCTGTGCTTCAATCTTCCTAAACTTGAGATTTCAGACAAAAATTCCCTCATGCCTTTCTCACTCTCATAAGGGATTTTTTTCACTGCAACTTCTACATTTTGTAAAACCCCTCTATAAACTTTTCCATTCCCTCCGAACCCAATCACATTTTGGTCTGAAAATCCATTAGTGGCAGCATAAATATCGTCATAGCGTATTTGGTGTGGCCAATCTCTAATTCCCAATCCTCAGTGTCTTCCTCATCTCTGTTGCTAGTTTTCCTTCTAAGAAAATGTACCAATATTACACTGGCACTGCCAGTGAGAAAGAAGACGCCGATACTGACTCCAATAATAAAACTTTTTGACCTTGTAACTGATCTTTTAGGAAGTAAAAATGAAGGCAAATTTGAAGTCACTAAAGCATCCCCAATTGAAAAATTGGTATTACTAAAGCTCCAGCTCAAAATTTTATGACTCTCCACCAATTGCCCTGTTGCCCCACAAAATCCCACATGCATTTCATCCAAAAGAACCGAGGAAAGATTAACAATCTCACTGATCAAAGGTCTCCGAGGCCTCTTTCGTCCTACACGAGCCATAGTTACATTTATTCTAGAATCCTCATAATCAATCCACACTTGATAATTATCCCCATCATTAAGTTTCAAATCCTCAAACACCCTATCATCTTTCCCAACCCAAGAACCCGC